GTGGACCGTTTGACGAATACTGCAAACAACAGGGTATCAGACACCAGAAGACTCCTAAGACTCCTCAGCTTAATGGTTTAGCAGAAAGGATGAATAGGATGATAGAAAGAGACAGATGTTTGCTTTCTGAAGCAAAGTTGCCGAATTCTTTTTGGGGTGGGGCTTTGTTGACCGCCGCACATGTTATTAATCTATCCCATGCGGTTGCTTTGCAAAGTGATGTTCTAAACAAATTTTGGTATGGCAAGGATATTTCCTATGACCACTTGAAAGTGTTTGGTTGCAAAGCTTTTGTACATGTGCCTAAAGATGAGAGGTCAAAATTAACTGCCAAGACAAGGCAGTGCATCTTCATTGGTTATGGCCTTGATGAGTTTGGTTACAGGCTATATGATCCAATTGAGAAGAAGGTCATGAGAAGTCGTGATGTTATCTTCGTGGAGGATCAAACCATTGAAGATATTAACAAAGCGGAGAAGCTAAAATCTCCAAGTTCTGAAGGTTTAGTTAATCTTGATCAAGTTCCTTATACAAATGCGGATGAAGTTGGTGGGCTCAATGATGATGGTGATGCCTAAAACCATATTCTAGATCAACATATTGATGGTGATGGTGATGACAATGCTAATGTTGATGAGGAAGATGTTCATACTCACGAAACTGTGGACGAGTTAGATATTCCACTCAGGAGGTCTTCTAGACCTCGTACTCCTTCCTCCCGTTATTCACCCAATGAGTATGTATTACTCACTAATGGGGGAGAACCTGAATGTTATGCGGAGGCCATAGAAGATGAGCACAAGGATCAATGGATTGAAGCCATGCAAGATGAGATGAAATCTCTGCATGAGAACCATACTTATGAGTTGGTGAAATTGCCTAAGGGNCACTAATGGGGGAGAACCTGAATGTTATGCGGAGGCCATAGAAGATGAGCACAAGGATCAATGGATTGAAGCCATGCAAGATGAGATGAAATCTCTGCATGAGAACCATACTTATGAGTTAGTGAAATTGCCTAAGGGCATGAAAGCTTTGAAGAACAAGTGGGTGTTCAAAGTTAAAGCTGAAGAACATAGTTTGAAGCCTAGCTACAAAGCTAGATTGGTTGTCAAGGGATTTGGTCAAAGAAAAGGTATTGACTTTAACGAAATATTTTCTCATGTCGCGAAAATGTCCTCCAACAGTTCTTGGTTTGACTGTCAGTCTTGATTTGGAGATTGAGCAGATGGATGTGAAGACTACTTTTCTTTATGGTGATTTAGAATAGGAGATTTATATGGAACAACCTGAGGGCTTCAAGATAAAAGGTAAAGAAAATCTTGTATGCAAACTTAAAAAGAGTCTATATGGATTGAAGCAAGCTCCCAGACAGTGGTACAAAAAGTTTCAGTCTGTATGGGGGATCAAGGCTACAAGAAGACTTTTTCAAATCATTGTGTGTTTGTACAAAGATTTTCTGATGATGATTTTATCATCATCTTGCTATATGTGGATGATATGTTAATTGTGGGCAGGAATGCTTCCAAGATTGATGATTTGAAGAAACAGTTGAATAAGTTTTTTGCAATGAAAGACTTGGGTCATGCTAAGTAGATTTTGGGCATGAGAATTACGTGTTCAAGAAACGAAAAAAAGTTTTACTTGTCACAGGAGAAGTACATAGAACGTGTAATGGAGCGCTTCAAGATGAAAAGTGCTAAGCTGGTTCACACACTCCTTCCTGGTCATCTGAAGTTGAGTAAGAAGATGTGTCCTACAACAACGGAGGAAAAAGAGAGAATGGCCAAGATTCTTTATTCCTCTATCGTTCGAAGTTTGATGTATGCAATGGTATGTACTTGACCAGATATTGCTCATGCAGTCGGTGTTGTTAGCAGATTTCTCGAAAATCCAGGAAAAGAGCATTGGAAAGTTGTAAAGTGGATACTCAGGTATCTAAGAGGAAGCTCACATGAATGCTTATGTTTTGGAGGATCAAATCCAATTTTGAAGGGCTATACAGATTCTGATATGGCAAGTGACCTTGATAACAGAAAATCCACTACAGGATATTTGTTTACTTTTTCAGGGGGAGCTACATCATGGCAATCGATGTTGTAAAAGTGTGTCGCACTGTCTACAACTGAAGCGGAGTATATTGCGGCTACTAAAGGAGGCAAAGAGATGATATGGCTCAAGAGATTTCTTCAAGAACTTGGATTGCGACAGATGGAGTATGTTGTCTATTGCGACAGTCAGAGTGCAATAGACCTAAGCAAAAACTCCACGTACCATGCGAGAACAAAACACATCGATATCAGATATCATTGGATTCGTAAGCAAGTGGAGAACGAATCACTTCAGGTCAAAAAGATTCACACAAGTGAAAATCCTGTTGATATGTTGACCAAGGTGGTACCAAGAGACAAGTTCAAGCTATGCAAAGAACTTGTCGGCATGCACTCAGACTAGAAGACAGTGCTACCTCCTCTAGATGAATGAGACTGGATGGGGAGATTGATATGGTGTCCATCTCATTCAAATGATTTGGTAGCCAATTTTATTGACTTAGTTTGGTTTGGTAGCCAACCTTGTTGAATTGGTATGATTTGGTAGCCAAGTTTATTGACTTGGTTTGGTTTGGTAGCCAACCTTGTCGAAATTGTGAAAAGGGTGTGCAAATTGTCAAATATTGTAGGCTTTAGAGAGTGAGGTTTTGGCTATAAAAGGAGAGCTTTAACTCTCATTCTACACACCAACAAAGAGAGAAAAGAGAGAGCAAAGTATTCCATAAACTATAAGAAAATAGTTTGTGAAGAAAAATAGAGTGTGAGAGATATTGTAGTGAGGTGGAAAAAATAAAAGAGTGTTTATTTATTTTGAGGGTGTAGTGGTCTTAGGAGTATTTTTACTCATTACTACACAGTGTAAAATTCCTCGCTATAGTGATATCAGTTGCTCTTCTTAGCCGTGATTTTTCCCTTATTCAGAAGGGTTTCCACGTAAAATTTTGATGTCATTATTGTTGCATTTCTATTCTTGCTGATTTAACCATAACTTAGTATTCTGCGTTTATCACTAATACTGTAAATATTATTTTTGCGGGTCTATTTTTCCCAACACTATATAAATCAAGCTATGTAACAAACTCCTTTAGTAGTAATAATATTAGTTTTCTTATGGCAAAAAAAAAAAAGTATGCTTTAACTGTCTTTTCTTAGACAAAAACTCATTCTAGACTAGAAAAAATCCAAACAAAATCAAGTGAGTCGCAAGTTCTAGACCACGCTTTCTACTTCTCAAACACAAAAGGGTAGACTTTCACTTTAAAAAGATAAGAAAAAGTAATAATTTGCAATTGGCTCAACATCACTGATGTATTTGCTAGCAAAAGGTAGAATTAATGGTATGTATGAATTTCATATAGAAGAGTTACTACGTAAGATGTGCTATATCAACATTCTATAGTTTCTCGAACTCCTACTTCATTTAGACATAATAAAGTAGGGAAAAAGTTGTTTTCATGTGACCTATAAATTAGGGATCCGAATCGTGGAACCAGCCATTAATGTTTGCATCAGGGTAAGCTGCTTACATCATATCCCTCGGGGAGCGGCCCTTACCAAAACCTAGTGTGAATGCGAGATATTTCCTATACTGGATCGTCCTTTAAAGTAGGGGGAAAAACAATTTTAAGAAAAAGAGATGATTGTGTGAAAAGGAAGTTGAGAAAAAGGGAAGAAAAAGAAAAGGCATGGAAAGGATTCGCACTTTTTAAGATTCTCGAAGGATAAGCAGAGAAAAGGGTAATTTCTATCGCCCAATTTTGTGAAGTATGGAATAAAGTTTCTTTGTCACATTGTCACAGGTTGTCGCAACTCATTTGTTGATGAATCTGCAAAGAGTAAAGGACACTGCACCTCCACTGCCAAATTGCTATTAAAAAAAAAAATCAACTGCACGTCCGTGTCGTATTCTGAAAATAGAAAATCCATTAGTCACTTGATCTTCCCATATATAAATGACCTTTCTTTTTTATTGATATTAATGATAAAACTGAACTCTAATTATTGAAATGTGAACGATAAAAAGTAGAATGATGGCTCATTCTCAAAAAGGAATTACTGATTTTTTGACATTAAAAAGATTGATAGTTTCAGTTTGCATATTGCTTTCATAAGGCTCCTTCTTCGAATGAAATTCAATGGTATACAGAGACCATGTTAGACCACGTCTTCATCCATACGATTCTAAAAAACCCTTCGATCAAAAGTTCAGAAGCCGAAAGCAATACAAGCGAGCATTTAACCAGTCTGCCAAAAGATGGACTGATTCTTGAAGAGCCCTGGTTCGAGCCTTTATTTTGTGACCAACAGGTCATGGTTCGAGCCGTAAAAATAACCTCTTGCAAAATTGCAGGGTAAGGTTGCGTACGATAGACCCTTGTGGTCCGGCCCTTCCCCGGACCCCGAGCATCGCGGGAGCTTAGTGCACCGGGCTGCCCTTTTTATTCTTGAAGAGCCCATCTCCGAAAAAATGTGATATTGCAGCCTGGATAAAAAAACATTTAAATGTAAACATAATCTAATGAGCTCTCAAGTGTCACTGTCTGTATATTTCTCACTGTTCTATTTATTTGTTTATATGATTGATTTGTTATTACAGTTCCTTCTTTTTTGGCGAGCTGCATTGAATTACATTGCAAAATTTGAGTTTGGAGAACTAACTCTGAAAAGAAAGGTGGTAGTACACCTGGTATAGCCATAAGAAATAAGGAAGTACAAAATTCTGCATTCAACCAAATAAGATATCAGGGAGAAGACACAAAAAGGTTGAAAACGACAAGAAAACACATTCTGAAATCAAATCAACTTAACTTATTGAGGGAGATATTATGACCCCACCACCTAAAAGAAATCCTGGTTCAAAATCCTTAAAAGCTTTAATTATAGTGGTATTATTATATAGTACCTCATATTACTGGGAAAAAATATTTTGGCAACTGCAACTATTGCTCTAGACAATAATAAGCTGAAGTTGAACATAAGTTACAGAATTCAAGATGGAGAATAGTGCAATAATCTCCAAATAGCTCTAGTCTTTCCCTTTTTTCTTTTCTCTAAACATTGTTAGCTGAGAAAGATTTTTCCTATCTTGTATGTATATAAGTTTTTCGATGAAAAGAGGGGATTATAATAAGCAAAAGGAATACATCATTTACTCCACTAAAGTTACCTTCCTTTTCTATTCTTACATAATTTATCCCTTCAAAAATTGCTAAGGTCAGGAGTCCAATTCTCCTCCTTTGAAGCTGAAAACGGTGCCATCATTTCATTGGAGCCTACTAATAATGGAGGTGACACTGTACCACACACAGCAGTAATCCCCTGTTAGGTGAAGGTTCAATAACAAAGACCCTTCAAAAAAATAAAAAGATATTTCAGTTTACAAAAGAAACTAACAAAAGAATAATACTATTACAATATCATTTACAACGTTGCTTATGAGTTACAGTATAGAATGAAACAAAAGCAAGCACATAATTGTGTTGTGTATAATGTAGCTTGAATTTTAGCTCCACAGACCAATCAATGCGTCAAGATGGTCCAAATGAAATGAGCAAAAGCGCACTCTCGTGCAGCTTAGTGATCAGCACAAGCACCTACTATTTGTCCACAATCTCCAATCTTTTTTCAGCATGAGATGGGATCATTCTGAATTACGTTTCCCCTGAAAATTGGGATTTAGTGACATCTCAATCTCTTCAAGAGATCGGCCTTTAGTCTCAACTATAAAATAGTAAGCAAATGCTGCTGCCATCAAAGAAAAAGCACCGAAGCTTCCATAAACTGGAGCAACACCAAATTTCTCAACGAGTTCCAGAAAAAACAAACCCACCAAGAAGTTGCAGACCTGTTCAATCACCATCAACAAGTCCAAATCAGTATAAACATCTTTCACCGAGGGACAATTGCTGCTGAGATAAGAGGCTACACAGAAAAAATAAGAATAGCATTTAACAAGAGGAAAGGGACAAATTACGAATGGCCATAGAAAGCTCAAAAAAATAATAATGTAAAGGGTGTGTCTGAGAAATGCCCTTCTTACTGTTCAACTCCCATTGGCTAGGAAAAGATGCAGGAAAAATGTAAAAATTAAAACTGAGAGAGAGTTCATGCAATCAACTTAATAGGTTGCAGCTAATCAGTTTGAAGCGCAGAAATGACACACATGATCTTGCTACATACCCAATGAACAGAGAAACTAAAGCCCATTATCTTCCCTCGCATCCTGCTGCTGCTGAGCTCTGGTATTATAAGACCAGTTACAGGCCCAGCTCCAACAGCAAAGGTGAAAATATACCTACACCAGAGTGAAATGGTAAAGAGAGAGCACAGGGAAATTCAAGTAGCATTTTCAGAGCATTTTTTGTATGGACACATACAAGATTGCTCTTTTTTTTTCAATGAAAAGGTAAAGATGGATGCATACAAGATGGTTCCGACAATTGATAAGTTGTTGCTTATTTCACCTTCCAATGGAAAGCTGATAGCACAGACAATAAGAAACATTGATAAAGCCTGCAAAAGACAGATCCGATGGAAGTGAGTTGACTATTTGAAAAATGACCTCCAAGAATTCTATATTTATTATCCCTTTCTCTGTTATAGAGCCAGGAGGGGGGGTTGGGATTGGGAACCAGAAACATACCACGGGGGACTATCTTGCAGTCACCTAGCTACTTCCCCCACACATAGCAAGGTTTTGAAGTGTATAATCCTTAAAAGACAAGACGTCTAAGCTACAGAGCGGCTCAAAACATGAGGACAAGCAAGATAAATTCCAAGTCCCTTAAATATTAATCTTAAAAACACTTGATGGATATAGGTCTAAGACGTAACAATAGCAATGAACATTTATGTTATTCACCCCATTCCTTCTTCACCCAAAAGAAAACTTTTACTTAAGGAGAGAAATATTTTTTCCTCACCATTCCAGCATAGCTTCCTACTAGAAGCCTCTGCCTCCCCTGCTTATCCATCAAGTATAAAGCACATAGTGCACCTGCAAAAAGCACACAGTGATAACTAAACATTATCTTGGAACCAAGTGAAATTTAGTAGGTGATGCAAAGTGAGTCTCAAGTCCTTTAGACCCATTAAATACCTGCAAAGTTGGTCAGTCCTACATATAAGCTTGCTAAAGCGCTGCTTGAGATTCCAACATCTTTGAAAGTCAAGGATGAGAAGTAGAGAACTCCATTTATACCAGCGAACTGTTGAAGTACAAACAAGGCACCTCCAATGGTAGCAACTGCAAAAAAAGAATAAAGTTGAAGCCTAATTTGGAGGATTGACATTTGTGTGAAGCGCATGCTCCCACAACATGCATACTATCAGCAGATTATGGCACATATTACACCAAGACGTGTGAGTATCCAGCATGCCATACAGGAAAAATCTTAAGACAACAGATGAAGATATTAACTATAGGCCTTCCACCAAACAAGCAATAAGTAACAAAAAAAATTAAAAACATTTAGTCCTTGGGAAAAAAAAATCAAAGAAGAAGATTATAACTTCCATTGAGTTGGGAAGATGATAGTCCACTTAAATGCCAAAAGTCATCTTTAACAATGTTCAACTTCAAAAGTGGAGGCAGCTGTTAAATTTTGCCAACCAACTCATACAAAGAGAAATCCTGCAAAGCTCCACATATATACTAGCAGAAAATCATAATTCTGTCCTGGTACTATGCAGCTTTACTTTTCAAGCATATTTTCATGATATTCGCATCAAACCCCCGCAGTCTATAAGAAGCTAAGAGACAATCATCAAAGTCAATCTTAAACATTTTAATCAAACAAAGAGAGAAAATGGTTGCAATGTACGGAGATTTTAGGCACCGGAATGGATCAAATTAGCATAGTGAAGTTAATTTATATACGAAACCTAAACAACCACCATAAACCTAATAAAGGATCATGCATTAACAAACAAACCACCTTCATACAACCTCTAGAGTGTGGTTCCTCTAGGAGTTCCAGCCAACAGCTGTCCAAGTCACTGCCATCATTTTTTATGACGGATCCAAACTCTTCGATAGCTTTATCTACTTCTGATGAACCCCATATGTTTCTGATGACCTTTTTTGCCTCATCAAGTCTCCCAGCCTGCATATATCTCCCATGGCAAGATTAGTGGCAGTCACAGCAACAGGAGTTAATGAAAACATGCAATGAATAAAAATTGCTACCTTACATAGCCAGCGGGGGCTCTCAACAGAAAATTGCATACCAAGAGCAAGAATAAATCCTGGAACACTTGCAATATAGAGCATTGTCCTCCACCTGCCAATGGTTGCATCAAAGTATCAACAGCCAAAGCTTGTTGCATCATATCTTGCCTACTTCTGGTAAGCAACCATTAAAAGGACAAGAAACTACGGGTTGCTTGGTTCGCGGTCTAGTTATGCAAGGACTATATTGTAAGAACTGTTATGTAGGTAAATAACAATGTATTGATTGTTAAAAGGAGACTAGTAATAATACACGGACTGTTGCTGGGGATTGCCTACTTTTAAGTGCAGTTTTGTCTTTAGATTCTCTAATCGACATATTGCTAAATTGATAATACATGTATTCGTACTCCACATTCTATCCCTTATAGTAACATAGATCAAGCACAAGTTATGCTAATATTAGTAACTTACGTAGAGTTTCATACCGGAAACCAAACGTTGAATTAGTTATGCAGAGATTGTGTTACCTTTACGTGGTTTTTATATTGGAAATCAAATGCTCCATATGTTATGCAGAGTTTTATACCAGGATTAATTTTTCTTATCTCAAACCAAATGACCCATAAAAGCATCAGAACATAAAATGAAAGAGGTGAGGAGTATCAACTAGTTCATTGCCAGACAACAGAACAGGTTCTTATTGTCCCCGCATAACATAAGCTAGGATGATTAGAAGCTGGAATCTAAAGTAATAAATTAAACTTCAAAAGCAGAAAGGCAAAGAAAGGCCCTCAAGGATTAAAATTATTTTATAAAGTCTTAAATTCAACATTAAAGCTGGATCTAGATTCTGGTAAAGATATGGATTACCATCACACTTGAAATTTAGGAGTTCTTGCAACATGGCAACATAATCAATTTAAATCGTTTCAACAAAATTCAGTACACTGACTGCGGTGGAAGGTAGTGGAATAGAAAAAGATAACGACAAGTACTCACCAGTGCGGATCATTTTCTGAGGGAATTGCCAGACAAAGTGATGCAATGATACCAACACATGTACCAATTTGACATAATGACCCCAGGGAGCCCCTATACTGCGTTGGAGCGACCTACAATACAAGCATTAAGATTATTAGAGAAATAAAATCTCTCTTCAAAGTATCTCTGCATCCCTACAGATATCTGATTGATCGAATAGATATGTATTGTCAAGCAAAAGAATATCCCACAAATACTTCCCCAAAACCAAAGGATCATTCTCAAGAAGCCTTTCCCTCCTTAGTAAAAGATAGCTCATCACTCTCAAAAACAAGAACGGAAAAAACATCACTCACCAAAAATGTTCAAGGACAGTCAGCACAAAACTTGCAAACCAAAATTATCATCTCTCAGCTGCAGCTGTCTTCCAAGATGTTTTAGCATGTCTTATGAGGATGTCTAAAGTTCAATACGTTCCTTCTAGAAATTTTCCCGTTTTCTTCTTCTTTTTCCCCGAAAGGTTAAATTATGAATCATAGATAAGTAAATCTCATCCTTGGATCAACACAAACACGAGTTTTCCAATCTGGGAAGATAAAAGTAGCCAAACCACACGACTAAGTAGTTTATTCAGATTTTCCCCCTAGTATCTTTTTCAATCAGACTTACCTCTCCATGCACCCCAAAAATAAACAGCAAAAACAAAAGTTAGGATGGATTCTAAAGCATGACTTTTCTTTAAAACTTTTAGAATGCGGACTTAGATAAGGAAATTATAAGTTAAGAGGCATACCTCAGAAATATAAATTGGAACTAATACTGTATTAACACCAATACCAAGGCCAACAAGGAATCTTCCCAAGAGCATTTCTTCAATGGAATGAGCTTGTGCACTGTCAATTGAAGGACATCACACATCAAAATTGGAAATTACTAAAGCACAAGCAAATTATTCTTCTCCTCTTTCCAGTTGTTAGGCGTAGACAAGAAGCCAGAAGATTTAACAAGTGAATGAGAGTATAATCCAATTTGCAACTGTCCCACCATCTTAAGTAATGAAAAATCTTTTGGAGAAGGGTGGATGGGGGGCTCATTATCCACCGAATTTCCAATCGAGTGCCACTGGCCCTTGGGGATTTCTCAGTTATAAAATAAAGTACGAAGAATCTTACTACCTATCAGTTCCATTTCACACGAGATCAGTTTGTCCCGAAACTATGCTGACGTTCATAAAAGGAAACTATTTGTCCATATTTTCTACTATGTTTTCACTCATTTGCTAGAGAAAATGTAACATCGGAATACTACTTTCTTTAAGAGGATAAATTCTTGAAAAGCATAACTTTATGTCAATTTTGAGATAAGCCTTTATAAAAGATAAGTTACTTTATCTCAATTCTAAGACCAGCTTCTATTAAATTACAATGAACTTTCTACTCTTACCTCTATCAAGAAGAGAAAATATAGATTGAGAATAAGAGCGCAAACCTTCTTATGATCTTAAATCTGGAATGTTTTGTTTATGTACTTCCTAAACTATTTATACATGTAAATATTTATTCTCAAATGGCATATGAATCAACGTCCAAAATTACCCTAAATTATAGGAACAGTTTTATACTTAGAACTGCATAATTCTTTTGGGGTAAGAGGAGAAAAAATAAAGATAGCAAATATAGCCAAGCAACAAATACCAATATGCATGATCATAAATGGATTACCTTACAATTGCCCCAAGAATAAGTGGTAGTGTGTCAATTTGAAATGTGCGACGATAACCAAGTTTATCAACAAGGGAACCAGAGGCTATGCTTCCTATGAATGCACCAACAATAAATATGCTCACCACAAGTCCTTCAAGAAATGAATTCCCCTCAAACCCAAGCTCTTTCGCTATCGATACAATAGGACCATTCATTACTCTGCATAATATAGCAAAAAATTAAACACTAAAAACAAAAACTAAGAATCATACAAGATACATCTGAAGTCCCCGGACACTAAAGTAAACATAAAGCTTCCATTTTTTAGATTCTAATTCACTATAATAAGTTACAAGTAACAAAAATAAACAGTTGTTCCTTGTAAGGTCAGAGCTAAACAATATTTTTTTCCAATGTGATAACCAAATAATTACCCAATCCATTTCATCATCAACAGAAAATTGGACATAGAAGCAGTCAATAGATTAAGAAGAAAAACTAACAAATAACATAATTACCCAATGTGATAACCAAATAGGAAATTGGACATTGAAGCAGTCAAAACGTGAGGAAAGGCAGGTAACCATCCCAAATCCAATTCATCAGCAGCAGCAGCAGCAATAACCTTTTCTTGTAACAACTCATTTTCATCATCTGAAAATAAAAACTGAAATTCAATTTTGAAAAAAGAAAAAGCCAAGTAAAAGACAGAAGAGTGAGCAAAACCTCTATTTTCAGAATTTATTATATCATGGGGTTGCTGTTTGTTAGCAGCAAGAACTTTTAGCTCTCTGGAAAGTGAAAAAGAAGTAGAATTGGAATAAGGATACAGTGTATTAATTTTAGGAGAGTTGTAAAAGTAAGGTTTTGGATCGAAACGGGGTGAGTAGAAGCATTGAAAAGGGTGAACTGCTAATGCCCGCTGCATTTGGATGAAGCTTCTCGTTGTTTGCGTTTTTTGACAAAACGAGAAAGTATAATTTGATCAATCATTCTGAAAATATCTCTCGGGTCAGGTGGCACTAGCGGCTTTGGAGCTGCACCGGGAAACCTGAAATTATCCAATTCCACTTATAACCTGTTTTTTGCCAAACGTGCTACTTTTCTAAAGTTAAGTATTTGGCCTCACTTTTAAAAGAAAAAATGTACTTTTAAATAACGAAAAAGGTTATAATATGTCCCTTTATTATAATAAATTATTTAAAGTTGTCCCATTTTATACTATTGGGCCATAAAACTTCTTGCCGTCTTACTATCCTAACAAATATTTTCTTAATTAGACGAAGGTGACACATGGCACCCATCTGTGCCCTTTTTACATCTGGGCATATTAAGCAACCCGCTCCACGAAACCCCCATACCCATAACTCGTAATTCGTGATTTATAACACAAAATAAACCCCTATTAAATTATATTACGGTAAAAAAATTATTACAATATAGTGTATATAATTCTCCCACTTATAAAAAATTTCTTTTAAATAATTCATATATAGTCCTCGGGTGGGGAAGAGTGTGGGGTGGGGTTCAGGGGGTGGGTCGGG